AAACGAAGGAGAATTGCTATGGCGAGTCCCTCTACTATGCCACGCACTTCACTCCCGCGCAGACGTAATGGGAAGGTGTAACTTCTAAGTAACTTTGCCCGCCGACGGAATCATTCACAGGATCCTTGGAGGGTCTGAAACACCTCTATCAAGCGTTGATCATTCTTCAGGGCTGACTGACCCTTGCACTTACGATCCACCTAGCTAGCTATCAAATACCGCCCTCCCTTATTTTGATTTCCACACCGAAGGAATGCCCTGTCCCCAGCAGCCTTTAGAGTGCAGTCATACTCTGCGTCATCGTTTAAGCATTTTGAGTGCGCGTCATCGTGCTCAGCGACTGGAAAAGCATAGGTATCGATCCCCGTTGGCGCACTGCTGATCCACAAACACTTGGTCGTTTCAACAAATCTGAAAATGAGGCACTCAAAAACCTTTACCGCAACGATTGAGCATGACAGTGAAAAGGTCTTTACAAATTTCACACAAGAGCTAATCGATAAAGCCTTGTATTCGATAACAACAACCAGAACGACCAGTAAGCTAAGAGTCGAAATCGGTAATAAAGACGCAAATGATAGGAAAAAGGTCAAGGAGACAAGACTTTATGGTAGTTTCAAAGTTTTACCAAAAGTCTATATTCGTTTTAATATACAAGTGCAGTTTCCAGCAATACATAACAGTGAATTAGATAACATGCAAATTATCTAGGCATTGTAGCGAACCTTCTCCAGCTCACCGTGGTTGACGAGCTTTTCGTTGGCTTCTTCAATGCTATTCACAGCAGCATTCCCTCTGGTTTCTGCAAATATGATGCTCAACTGAAAGAACATACACCACCAAAAACAAGGCGAAACGTACGAGTTTGCAATGTAGACGTTGTGCCCACGCTTGGCACAACGATCGGCCACAATAAGTGGCGCAGGGACCGACACAGTAGATGTCACGATCTCGTGCAAGAAACAAAGAGCATGTGTCATTCCTTCGATGACATCAAGAGGAATCTTGGAATCGTCAGCCAACAACGAGTATTTCGGTGTTTTTGCGGTACCCTATAACTGCTGCATCACTTCGTATAAATATAGCTGCGGCTACAAATTTTTAACCTGGAAAGCCGAGTGCGCGTTCAGGTAGAATTCGTTGATGACAGGCGAAACAATTTTAGTGTCGACAACTGTACCGGGAGGAATATTCTGGTCCACGGCACGATTTCCCGATATGTTCTAGAACACATTATAGATATTTTATAAGAGCTCCCAAACAGAAGACGGGGAGTCAAACTTACCGCTTTGTAAAGACGCTCATTGTGATCCTTCGAAACAGCCAAAGCCGTCACGCTAGGCTTGTAAGCAGCCGACAGTGATGTGATTCCCGTCCTGATCGCTTTTATGTACGTGTCGGTCACCTGAAATATTAAGGCTCACAAAGCAGTCTTACGCGCTGTTTCACACTTGCATTGAGTTACCAGTAACGACTTGATAGCGATTCATTGATGTCACGCAACCTGTCAAGAGTAACGTTATTCAACGTACGTCTACACTCCGTGTAAGCGTTTTCAGCGCTAGGACAGTGCAAGTATCGATCAACCGCTTGAGCTCCCGCCTGCATTCAAGCGTCACCAGCGTTTGATACTCTTTACCCTTTTTTGGTCGCAGAAAACTCGAAAAAAATTGATCGGACGCTGGAAACGCTGGTAGACGCTCCAACGCTGAGTAGCTCAAACGCGTCGCCTAAGTACTGAACACATCTCTACAACTGCCTGCGTTACATTTTTCATCACTACAGCTGTTCTACGACAACACTCGTCGTTCTTGCGATATACTTCGCTGAGAAAGAACTTACAGGCTAAGTGGCCTGTCAGATATTCCAGAGATATACACATGTGACGAGGCGCACGGAAGATAATTACAAATTTTCTTTAGCATTTTCAACGATCAGTTCACTTAGCTTTGGCATCTCTACAGAACACAGTAAAGAAGAGGAGGAATAACTGAAGAGGACAAAGGAAGATAACTTCAAAATCTCTAATCTGATTGCGTGGATAATCTACACATTAGTCGCCGATTACGCGGAGCATTGTGGTGGCGCATTTTTGCTCCCAGCAAGTAAGACAGGAATTTGACGATCAATAGAATGGGAAGTCTTCAGACCCTCCAGATGGAAATCAACCTTATATGTCGCGCCGCGTTCGACTTCCAACTTCGAAAGCGAAGGAGGATTGGAGATCTCGAAGCCGACAAAGAGGCGATCTTTGTCGCTGACCATATTGTTCTCCTAAGATATCATCATGGCACGCATAATCCAAAAAGTGAATCTGCGTTCATACTTTGCGTCAGCATTTTGAGAGTAAGGCAGCATTCTCAGCGTTTTCGCAGGTAGATTTGAGCTTTTAGCGCGGGCACTCGCTGGAAAGACTGGCATGCGCTCGAGACGCCGAAGCAATATCTACACTTCCTTAACGCTGCTGTACGCTGCGTACGCTTCAAAGCGCTGACGTGCGCTAGATCGAAGACTACACTTTTCTAATCGCTCGAAACGCTCAGAACGCTGACGCAAAGAATGAACACAGCCTAAGGAATAAGGACTTACGGGTCACTAGGCTTTGAACCGAGCATAACGTTGTAGTTCATGCCGCCAAGTTTCATGTTGAGCTAAAGCAACCTTTATTTGCGAGACAAAAGCCTACTACTGCAAAAAAAGCTCACCTTCGCGACAACATTGTCCAGCGTCTGATTTTGATTTTTGTTCAGCACAGAGTCGACCTTGCTCCCCTTCACCTCTTGAGACACAATTTGATGTTCGACTTCGAGAAGTTTGATTAAATCTGAAACATGAGATGGAAGCTCAGCAGCAGCATTCGATATGAAACAACATTCGGCGTTGGTGCAGCAAAGGTTCGCAGTTCAACGCAAAACAGGTTTCCACCCAGGTATTAGGAGAGGAAAAGCGCTCCGAGGTGGGTAAGTCACATTTCACAGAATACGGAAAAGAATTTGTTTTGGCAAAAATAGCAATCTTACTCACAGCTCTACCTCTTGATTTTAATGCAACTGACGGCGGCCTTTTGCAATACCTGCGCCCAACATATGATAGCTAACAACAGAGTCAAATAGAAACATTGCTATCACCGAAGACTCACCGTGTAGCTTTATTCCATCAGAAGTTATGAACATCAGGTATTGACGATTCTTTCGCTTCTGTGTTGCATAAAACTCCTAAACGCAGTTTTGATGGGGACGAAACGAAACCACAGACTTTATATGATATCAACAAAGCTGGTATCTACAAGAATGGAATCCATCAGAGTTGAATCTCCGAGAGTGCCACACAAGAGGATGCAGCGACGGCACCGCCGCGGTACTTTGCGAAAGGTATATGGCAAGACAATCGTAATGTGCCGCGCTGATGGGCGTGGTGAGCGACGCCGCGCGCGACA